AATAATTCTTTTTTATTTCAATCGAAATTTGGCCATCCGTCCGGGTTTTGTGTTTACTCGATTTGGTAAAAAATGTTTAGACATGTTATATGTGCGCCAGTTTTGACTATTGTTGACTATTATAATTAGGGAATAACTATTTTGTGTGGGAAATTTTTGTGTTGAGGTTTCCAAGGAATTTAATCAATGGCAATTTTGGACATTAGTGATAATTTTTTAACAATTTAAGAAGATAAACTACTTCTGACTATTTTTTAATCTTACTTATAATAAGGACTTATTATATTTTGATTTCACTCATTTTAAAAATAACTAGAAAAATATATTCATAAATTTGCTAGAATTAAGTTTAGTTTATTTTTAGCTATGATATTCATTTTTTATTATAAGCATTTACATTTTTCTTGTATTTTAGGTAAAACAATTCATAAAAGAAATGTTGCATGAAATTTAATGGACAGTATATTTACATTATAGTTAACTTTTTTTTATTGAGGATATAATTATTAATTGTACTTTTTTTCATTTTCAGCCTAACCATCAAAACAAAAATATTAGGTGCATTAATATCACTATTGAGGGCTTTATGCATTTGACAAAAATTAAGAAATTTGCAGATCTAACACTAAGGGATTGTTTGTTCCCCCTCTGGGGTTGCGGGGTGTGGTTGCCACAGTGGTGTTGGTCTAGGCAAACATGCGGGCATGTGAGTGATGTTTCGATTGCCGCTATCGGCTGGCTTCATGCTTCGTCCATCAAACTGTCGACACGCAATCAAGTGCAACCAAGGTCATGCTTAGCGGTGCCCGCGGCAAATGTTGTGTTGCCTGCCTGTTCAATGGGAGACTGACGCCTTTTCAGAGTTACCTCCACCCGATGCCTTGCAACGGGTGTCGGGGGACCCCAAAGCATGCCTCGTGCTCCACTGAGCCTTCACCGGTCGTGTGGGACATGTGGCCATGCTTTGCTCTCAAACCCAGTGCATCCCGTGGACGAGAAGGGCTCAAGGATTCCCTCAGTAACGGCGAGCGAACCAAGAATAGCCCACCATGAGAATCGGTCGCCCCCGGCGTCCGAATTATAGTCTGGAGAAGCGTCCTCAGCGGCGGACAGGGCCCAAGTCCCCTGGAAGGGGGTGCCGGAGAGGGTGAGAGCTCTTGTTGAGTCAAATTAAGCTGCAGGCTCCACTCCTGGTGGTGCCCTTCAGTCAATTCCTTTAAGTTTCAGCCTTGCGACCATACTCCCCCTGGAACCCAAAAACTTTGATTTCTCATAGGGTGCTAGCGGAGTCCTATAAGCAACATCTATTGATCCCTGATCGGCATCATTTATAGTTGAGACTAGGACGGTATCTGATCTAGGGGCATATGCCGCTTGGTCCCTAAAAGATGCGTTCATGCCTAACGGGCTTGGGCCGGCACCTCCTGTCTCTTCCATTTGCTCGCTTTCCCCCTCTGGGGTTGCGGGGTATGGTTGCCACGATGGTGTTGGTCTGGACAAACGTGCGGCCAGCGTCCCCAAATTGTAGTATGGAGAAGCGTCCTCAGCGGAAGACCGGGCCCAAGTCCCCTGGAAGGGGGCGCCGGAGAGGGTGAGAGCCCTATTGTGCCCGGACCCTGTCACACCACGAGGCGCTGTCGGCGAGTCGGGTTGTTTGGGAATACAGCCCCAATCGGGCAGTAAATTCCGTCCAAGACTAAATACTAGCGAGAGACCGATAACGAACAAGTACAATGGTTTTTTATTATAAGCTTTTAAATTTTTCTTGTATTTTAGGTAAAACAATTCATAAAAGAAATGTTGCACGAAATTTAATGGACAGTATATTTACATTATGGTTAACTTTTTTTTATTGAGGATATAATTATTAATGGTACTTTTTTTCATTTTCAGCCTAACCATCAAAATAGAAATATTAGGTGCATTAATATCACTATTGAGGGCTTTATGCATTTGACAAAAATTAAGAAATTTGCAGATCTAACACTAAGGGAGTGTTTGAATTAGTTTTTTTTTTAAGTGATTTTATGGCATATGAGGTAAGTATGTAAGAAGAGTTTTATTTCAATTTATGTGAAAGTACTTTGTTTTAAGGAAAAAAGTGCAAAAGTAGACATTTTAAACCATCTTGATGTCACTGAAAGAGGCAAAATTGTGGAAGTTTTTACATTACATTTAGATTAAGGTTTATCCTTAATACACACACACACACACTCTTCAACTATACCCCCTCCCTCCCCGTTTCCCCCATTTATTATATTCCTTAATACTCTTTTGTTTTTTAATGTAAGACCTAATTAATTAATTTTAGATTAATGATGCTAGTTAAATTAGTTAATATGATATTTTTTTTCCTAAAACATCTTAAGTATTTCTTAATTCCTTCCCTTCCTCTCTTACCTGGTCATTGTTGAGGGAATATTAACAGAATTAATTTGGAAAAAAAATTAATAAACATGTAAAATAAGTCTTACATATAAAACTAATATTAATTCTCCAGTTAGATAATATATTAAGGACCAGAGAAGTATCATTTATTAAAAGAGGCAACCTTGAAGTAGTCCTCCTTGTTGGAGAGCTTCACTGCATAGTACACATTGCCTATATTAATCAGATTGATGACTTCTCTCTTTGCCCAATATGACTATAGTTTATATTCAAGAGCCTTTTAAGTTATGATCAATGTTTCTCCCAGAATTTTCATCATGACCACCTTACTCTCATCATTTCCCTCTTACCTAAGGAGCTCAATCTTAAGGAGTATTATGATTATTTTACCAAGGGCCTGTTTGGGTGACCCTCAAAACCATGGTTTTGGTGAGATGTCACCCAAACACCATCAATTTTGGGCCAATAATCTGAAACCATGGTTTGGGTCAAAACCATGGTTTTGGAATCTAAAACCATAGTTTCAGGAAAAGTGAATTCATTTGCTTCTGGCTCAAATTGGAGAGATGATTGTGCCTGTCAGAGTAGATCTCAACAATAATATGACTTTAATATTTCTCAATTATTTTTTTATAAACATATTTAACCTTATATCTTATAAACATATATACACATATTAATTACATTATCTTATGTATTATTAATTATGTTGGTAAAAAATATATTATTAACAATTTTATTCCTTCAAGTTAAAATATATCACAAAATTTATCTTTTATATAATTATCATATTAATTCTTTTTTTTTAGTAATTTGTATATATAAAAAGTACTTCTGATAACAACTATCCAAACACTCTCACTTCTCAGAATCACTTTTTAACAAAATCTATTCTTCACAGAATCTATTCTTCTAGAATTTATTCTCCAAAAGCTATTATCCAAACCATAGTTTGGTTTATCCAAACACACCCCAAGTTGTGGATGACAGCACTCAAGGGCGAAACTTCAATTAGCAATAATTTTCTTACGCGGGACAAATTGTCATTTCGCCCATTTTTAAGGGGTTTTTCTTAAACTATACCATAGAAAGCTCATTTGCCATTCTCATTCCCATTTTCTTGAAAATATCATTATGAGATCGATTAAAACTAAATTCCAAGTTAAACAAGAAAAAAATGATAGAAAAGCACCTATTGAATTTTAAAATAACAAATAGGTAAGTTTAACAGATTTTGACTTGTAAAAATCATTACAAGTATAGTCAAATCATTCAAGAGTAATTAACATGATACCACTAGCCGATAGTTTGAGTAGTACTTGTGTGCGTGGGGTGTGTGTTGTGTTGAGGGCTTCGAGCTTGTCCCTACCTAATAAAAAATAATCAGCATAACTTATTTGTTCTTTTGAAATTCAATAATTATTTTTCTGTTATTTTCTCTTATAATTGTCAAACCAACTACTCCTCCGGTCCTTAATATAGGACTCAATTGTTGAGTTGGTTGTGGTCCTAAATATAAGACCTATTTCTTATATTTATCAATTTTCTCTAAATTACCCTTATAGATACTCCCTCAACCATAACCAAGTAAAAGAAGAAAAGAAGATACTAAGAAAGATGATTATGGTGTTTTAAAAAAAAATGTGTCACATTTCTTATAATTAACTAACTTACCTAACTTCCTTAATCTAATTAAATTAATTAAATGGGTTTCATATTAAGGATCGGAAAAGTACTTTCTTTTGGTGGGGCCACATTGTGGGACCAATCTAATAAGAGTCAAATTATTGTCTCCTCCATTTTTTTTTTCTGCCTCCATGCACTAGTTTAAATTAAATTTTCTACGTGCAGGTTAAAGCATTTTTCTAAGGACTTGTTTAGATTAATGTTGACAAAAATGACATTTATGCTTATAAACTAAAGTTGAAGTAAAAGTTAATTAGCATAATATAATTTTTATTTAGAAAGCCTTTTATATGGAAAAAAGATTAGTTTGATATAAATCAAAAGCAACTCTTAAATGATTTTTAGGCAAAAAAAAAAAAAATTGATCACAATACCATGACAACAAATTTTCCAATACAAGTAACTTTGTTTTTTAGCCCTCACTGACTTCTAGGGCTTTGTGATGTGATGCCAAATAAGTTCTAAGTTCATTGGTGTTGTTATAATAAAGACAGCACCACAACTTGCTAGTCATAGGGAATTTAATGCAACAGAATCACCCAAATTATGTTAACTTACAAACAGAAACACGAGGGAAAAGTCGATGTTGAACATAGTTGTCATAAACTCATAATACAAACCTATAAAATCCATCAAAATACCAAATAAGTAAACACAAGACACTGCACGCACATCACTCGCCCTTTTTATAAAAGCATCAGTCACACCCCTTGACTGCACATTTGCACTCATAAAAAACGAGAAAAGAAAAAGGATATTTTGCAGGGTTAAAAAGGTAACATCGATCGCATTTTTTTGTTATTCAATAGAACTTGTCTTTACTATTTTTCTTTCCATTCTTTTTTCTTTCAATTTTATTTCATTTTCTGTAACAAAAGTCTTTGAAGTGGGGGAAAATGGCGGGTGGGGGGAATAAGTAAGGGACAGCTGCAGCAATCTCACTTTGATAGTTATTGTACATAAGATCATTTTACAATTGAAATCCAAATAAACCTTTGTAGGTAATAAAAAAACAACCAAACACACCTTATTACAGAACACAACATGGGTGCAACAATATGTCTAGCTAAGCACAAGTTTTGGTCCATTTTCTTCCCTTATTCCCAACGCCATGCATTTCCAATTTCTCTGCTAATCAACCAGAGGTTGGATTATTCCGAAAATCATCAATGGAAGAAGATTAACATGAAAAGCAACAGCAGAAAGGAAAACATTAAACAGAAAAAGGATAAAAGGAAAAGCAAAGAAAACACCCATTCGTATAGCTAATGAAACCTTGGCGAAACTGGATTATTTATTATGACTGAACACCCCTAACTTGCCATTCATCTTTGAGGGGGCTCGATTGTACGGACAGTAGCTCCTTTCATTCCATCAATTCGATCTTTAGTGATTTCCACAAAGTGGCCAACAATCTCATGAAACTGTTTGAGTCCTGACAGAGGCAGAATTATGGATGAACGATCAGAACCTGCAACCTGCAATTTGATAACATGAATATAAACCAGTTCGAAACAAGTACGATATATGGTAAATGATAAAGAAACAGAAAGGAAGGATAATAGCATCCGCATTACCTCAGATATTCTTAAGAAATGACCCCTGTTATTGCTCCCAAGATCAAAGAAGAATTTTTTTTGATCGGCCCTGATAACTTTTGAGACCCCCAAATTCCCTATTTCATCCTGAACTGGCAAATCAACAGACCTATCCACATTCAGCTCTGACGATGTGGGAGGTTGACTACTATGACCAGATATGAATCCTGCACCAACATCATCTGAAAGCCCAACAAGACGTTCTGAAGACTCAGAACTTTGCTGCCACAGCTCCCAAACAGTCAGAGATAAAACAGATTATGAGATCTTAGGAAATGTCGGAGGCACAGCAGAGGGTCAAAATACAAAAGAAGCCAACCTGGTTAGGAAGAATGAAAAGCCTAGAAGCTTCATTGATCTCTACCAAAATGTTCCTGAATGCAGCCCACCCTTCATCTCTGGAACTTCCAGCAGGAACAATGATAGTACTACGATTTCTACTGACAGAAGCTTCAGACACCTGTGCAAAATACCATCTAGAATCATTATCTTGTAACAAAACATACAGGAAGTTTCCTCAACAAAATAGACTGAAAATTAATGAAAAGCAAGGTATAGATGATAGACATTTCAAAGTACATGATTTTTTTCAAAAATTAAACAGTATTCCAGGAAAAGATGGTGTCAAAAATAATCTTTCACGCATATGTTCTGAGGAATTAGTTCAAGTCAATGCTAGTATATATGTCTCAGGAGACATTTGATAGGAGAATTATCAGTGTTTTATGAGTATTTTATCTAAAAAAAGTATTTATTTTATCATGTCCTTGCAAAATTTTCTCATTCTGTTAAACTTCAAAGGCTGAGAGCATGTATAAGTCATATAGAGGTTAAAAACTCCAGATACCCAATCGATTAGTCCCATCTCTCCTAATTCCCCTGAAGTCACTCCATCTTCTGCCCACCCGGCGCCACACTTTCCATCATCCACCACATATAACGCTTGTTTCTGCATAAATCCCACACCATCCTCTCCTGGTTTCACATGGAGCTTTGAGGCTGAGAAACCCTAAATACCTAAATTATTTAATGCGCCCATCAAGCCACACACTTCCCATTACTCATAATTTTGTCATCCCCAACCGCATTGCATATAATGCTAGTTTCTTCCCCAGCTCAACATCTCCTTTATTCTACTGGGAAATTGTAGGTTCAGAATGGTCAAGTTTCCCATTTGCAACTAAATATTGTGACCTAGAAACGGCTCTCTCTCAGTTCAATTATGCTTCTCAAAGCGGAATCCTAGACGCATAACTCCATCATAAAAGCATTCAGTAGCATCTGTTTCAGCACATGTTAGGAGATAATTTAGTCAACCAAATTGTTGAACCGTACAATGGTGTTTGCGCACCAAAATGAATCCAAGTTCTCCACAGTCAACAATTTTTATGCAAGTTATCAACAAATCTAAAAGATAAGTTGCTCCTGAAATTTTTTAGAAAAGATCTTTAAGGTGGTCGGTATGCAGATTGGGAATTAGAGCTCCAAGAATACGCATATGGTCTCAACCAAGCAGATTGACTTGGAAGGTATTAAAGTCTAGGAGGAAAACTTGCTATGTCTCACAACAGACCGGATATCAACTTTCCTCTCAGGGCCTGTTTGGCAAACAGCAGAAAAGTACTTTTTGGACCCAAACCATGGTTTGGGCCCAAAATTTGCCAAACAGATGAGAAATTGATGAAACCATGGTTTGGGCTGAGTAGAAAAACAAAACCAATTTGCTTCTGGGCAAAAAAATTGAGGACCATTGGGTGATGATTATACTGTCAGAGAATAATTTGACAAAAAACACCCGCATAAGCTTCCTTCTGCCTTCGGTCCTTTGGTCCTCTAGTGAGAAACCATTTTCTATAAACATATTAATCTTATATTTTATAAATATACATACACATATTAATTATTTATTAATTATAGTTTCTTATATATTATTTATTACGTTGGTATAAAAATATATTATTAACAAATTTATTTTTTCAAATCAAAATATATTATAAAATCTATATTTTATGTAATTATCATATTAACTTATGCTTTTTTTTAGTAATTTACATATATAAAAAGTGTTCCTAATAACAATTATCTAAACACTCATTTTATCAGAATCACTTTTTCACAAAATCTATTCTCAAAAATCACTTTTTTTCTCAAAAGCTATTCTCCAAACTATGATTTGGGTTCGTTGGCCTCTATGGTAGAATTAGTCGAGGCCTGAGAGGTGGTGGTTTACCCTATGAATGGGTGAGTAACGCGTAAGAACCTACCCTTGAGAGGGGAACAATAGCTGCTAATACCTCGTAGGCTGATGAGCAAAAAGAGGAATCCGCCCGAGGAGGGGCTTGCATCTGATTAGCCAGTTGGTGAGGCAATGGCTTACCAAGGCGATGATCAGTAGCTGGTCCGAGAGGATGATCAACAACACGAGGACTACAAGGGTATTTGGATGAAACCAAACCATGGTTTGGAAAATAACTTTTGGAAAAAAAGTGATTTTTGAGAATAGATTTTGTGAAAAAGTAATTCTGATGAAGTGAGAGTGTTTGGATAGTTGTTATCAGAAACACTATTTATATGTGCAAATTACTAAAAAAAGAATAAGTTAATATGATAATTATATAAAATATAGATTTTGTAATATATTTTAATTTGAAGAAATAAATTTGTTAATAATATATTTTTTTACCAACATAATAAATAATATATAAGAAAATGTAATTAATAAATCATTAATGTGTATATACAATTATAAAATATGATATTAAAAATGTTTTTGTAAAAAATGAATATTTTTTACCAACAGAAAAATATTATTTTATTTTAAAGACTATACATATGAAATACCATGATATTTTTTGACAAAATTAAATAAGCACACATAAAACAATTTATTACTTATTATAGTAATTAATAATAAACACCCAACACATATGATTCTCTCAGGCTCTCTCTTGTGCTGCTTCTCGTGCTTCGTCTGGAACAATGAAGACAAGAGATGAATAATTGGGGAGGGGTATATCTATCTAGGCCAAAAAAAAAAAAAGGGCACATATCACACTCTCCCTTTTTTTCCCAAAAGCATAAAATTTTTGCTTCTGCCAAAATCATGGTTTTGGTTTTTTCCCTAGTGTTTGGCTTAATTTTTGCCCAAACCATGGTTTCAGTAGTTATCCAAACCATGGTCCGGCAAGTCAATTTATGAACACGCAAACACAAGAGCAGATGGATGCAGCCTACTGAATTCTGAGATACCTCAAGATGGCTGATGTAGAGGAACATGTTTCTAGGGAGAGAAAAAAAAAAAAAAAATTAGAAGCGGAGGTCTTCATCATATTGATTGGCAGGTTCTGTTTCTAGTAAAAGATAAGCTTCAGGATACTAGTATTGTTTGAGGAAATCTTATTATACGGAGAAGCAAGAAACAAGCCATGGTAGCAAGAAGCAATGCAGAAGCTGAATTTAAGGGCAATTTCACACAAGATATGAACCTTTTGGCTGAAAAGATTCATGAATGAATGAAGACTTCCTACAACTAGACCTGTGAAGATATAGTGTGATAATATGGCATTGATCAAGATTGCTAAATATCCAGTGCCGTATGACAAAATCAAGAATGTTGACATTGATTGGCATTTCCTTATAGAGAAACTTGAAGCTAGGACTTTTCAGAAAACTTGCACTGCTACCCAAAATCAGGTAGCTGATTTCTTATCTAAGGCCTCATCACAAGTTAAATTTGAAGATCTAATCAGCAAGCTAGATATTCTAGATATCTATTCCCCAACTTGAAGAGGATTATTGGTAATCTTGAAGTATCTCAGCCTCATATGGTGGTCATGAATGATTACCTGATTTTCTGCTACTTCTATTTCTGTTTTTCTCCCCTGATTTGTTCCACATTTAAGATATTTTATTTCCTCACTTTCAGTTGCCGATTCATGGGATTCTAGTGGCAAACTTGCTGCCAATTTTCTTCAACGAGATTAAGACCAGAGTATTATCCTCAACCAAGAGATTCAACGACTATGTTTGGCCCATTCACAATATTCTTAGAGAAATGGTAGACATTTTTTTTCAACGAAAAAACCAGTAATTGGTTCTTAATTAAAAACTAATAATTAATTATGACCAATATTGATTATTAAGAAAATTAATAACAGAGGTGGTGGCAGTGCCCACAGAAGAGCGACCAGGGTGAGAGCACAATTGAAGTTTGGACTTTCAGAGTCATGGGTAGGTCACTTAGTGTTAGTGTTCTCAAATAAGTTAAAAAAATATCCTCCCCGCAAGGTGATACAACGTTCCCACCCAAGGACTTCCCTCCCAATCCATCAGTCAAACATGGGAATGAATCATTTGAGATCTCACATTCTTAGGAACCATGAAGCACAGACACTAAGGCAAGACAAAAACAACTCAGGACACAAGATGCTAATTTCTAAAAATTATGGCATAGAACACAACAAAACCTGTGTTAGTAATGGTGTCACTAATCTCTGGCAAGGATTTATAATGGTGTCACTAATCTCTGGCAAGGATTTCATTAAAGCAAAACGATAATTGCCTGAACAAAACACTGAGATAAAGAACAAAAATATATACAACAGAAGTTTTATCCCACTAAATGAGGTCCGTTACATAGATGGCAGGATACCATTGTTCTTTGTCCAAGACCATCTGTTTCGATAAGCCATTAACTGAGACCTCTCAGTTAATAACTTCTTCAAGTATCCTTCCTGGTCTCCCTATACCTCTCTTCACAAGACCTAAGACTATCTGCTCACACTCCTTTAATGGCACCTCTACTGGGAGAAATAACCAAACTATCTAAAACAATTTTGTAACATTTTCCCCACCATCTTGCCCTCTTATTTGATCATTACCAAAACAAAAATATGGCACAAAATAAATTTGCACAAAGTGGATTCTACAGCCGTCTTGTCATTGACAATTTTGTGAAAATGGGTTCTGCATTTTCCTTCCCACAAACAATTTTGCAGAAAGTGAGCGCCTTAACTGGGAATGAATAAATTTCAGTTCAAGGCCGAGATCACAAGTTACACAATCACCATGACTTTCCTAAGAATTCAGAGTTCAGATGAAGAGTAAATACGCACATCCTAGTCATTTGCTATGAATATTATTTTACCCAAAAAATGTTGGAACTTTGGCACATATCTGAGCAACATAATAAGTTTTGAGGGCTAAAACTAGCAAGTATATAGGGAATCAGAATTATTGACTAGCTATGAGTCCCATTATAAGAAAAGAGCAATAACTTTAGCATGTCAGCCTTTCAAAGATGATAGCAATTTCCAAGTCAGAAGAAGCCCAAAAGAGGGAAAAGGAACAGGGAGAGCAATAAGCTCATCAGTCTTTCAAAGATGACAGCAGCAGTAGGTGCTTGAAAGGCAGGATGAGAGGAGGACTATGGAGAAAGGCTACTCTTGGGAGAGAAGACAGGTGGAAGGAAAGCAGAATGGGACTTTTCTGAAAGAAGATGGAAAGATAAAGAGTCTAGTAACATTCTTAAGAATCACAAATTGAATTTTGCAAAATTCAAATTGTCATGTCCCAACACAGGTCAAAGCCCATAATCATATATCTTTTTTCCTAAATCGGGCACCTATGAAGCATGTTGGGGACATGTCATCAATGCGTCATAGCAGTGTTTGTGTCCAACACCCCAAAACACTGCCAAAAATGAAGCGTCCATGCCTTATAACCAACAATATGAAACATATCCACATAGCAAATGTCTCCACAGATATCATAAGGAAGCTAACTATAAAATCACCAAAATCCTTTGAGCACATGTGATCTTTGCATAACCACAATTGGGATAAACCAGAGCTTCAAATCCTTGCAGTTGATGACACACGTTTGAGCTTTGCCAGTGAGCTTCCAAGATCTGGGTGGGTGGTCACTGGTGTGCGTTGACAGATCTGTGTGGGTGCTCGCCAATGTGCTCTGCTACTCCTCAATGTCATCAGTCAGCTTTGAAATGATGGAGCTTTGATGCCGGTGGTGGTTGGGGTTCTGTCCTCATCCATGGATGCTTGATGGTTTTGTAAATGTGAGGAGTATAATGGCCAGCAAATTCAGGTTGCTGGGAAAATATGGATTTTCCATTGGGTTAGTGGAGGAAGTCATTTTCCAAAGTTTGGGTGTGTAGAGATATGTAAATATATTGTAATTAATATAGGATCAAATCAGATATGATAGGATAGGATAGTATCCTCTAATAATGAGCCATTAATGACTGAGGCTCCTCTCTTGTGTATAAATTCACCCTTTCTGATCATGAATATACAAGAAATATATTTCACATTATTTTTCTCCTTAATAGGGTGGACATTCGTTTCCTACAAATTACATTTCATTCTAACTAAACTAAGTGAGATGGATTTTCAATTTCCATTTCCATTCCCAAGCCCAATTGCTAGAGAAGCAAACAGTGCCTGAAGGAATTCATCATCAGGTTCAGCCAACTAAAGTGTGACGCTATGTTGAATTTGTTATTTCTAATGTCTAGGAGAGTCCAACTCAAGGTCAAATTTTCTCCAACCAGGGGAGCTTAATGAAGAATCAAGAAGCAATATCAAGAGTGAGATTATCAAGATATGGTTAGGTATTTATAAATCAAGAAATAACTTATCAATGAAAGCTTAAATTAGTGATATTCTTCATCACTATTTCCATTATTAGAAAGCATGTGCTTTAGTTTCCTTCATAAACCCTTTGTTGGAGACTATTTGAGACAGCTTAACAATTGAATAAAATATACATAGTTCATTCTCTGTGTCTTCCTCTCTCTCCCATTTAACTCCCTTCCTTCCTTCCTTCCTTCCTTCCTCTTTATCCTTTGCTTTCTCCTTATATACCTCCTTTTCTCCCTTCTACCGCTGGATTCCTTTTCCTTCTCTTTCTACGTTCCCCAATTTGTCCCCTTTCCCCTCTTGGTTCTACATAGCGAGGCAAGAGATATTCAGTCTTGTATAATCTCATCATGGCATTACTCATGTAAGGAGTTGTATGCTTGCTTGGCAAACACCCATAATCACTTTAAAAAGCTCTTTTGCACTTTACAAGACAAAACTCTCACATGCTTGCCTCATACAGTGCAAAATCACCTAAAACAAACTAATCCAAAAGCCCTCGTATCTAGCTATACCCCATATATTTAGTCTCATCTAGCCATCATGGTATTCTTCATACTAGCAGTTGTTCATAATCCAGCTATATATAGAGTCTCTCATCAAAAGACTAGCCACTCTAGGTCAGGCATTGATGGCCACTTTTGAAGTGCCAAAACTTATCAAAGAGATATGGTTATGCAAAAACTAGTCTCAACTCTCAAATGCCACTCTGCGAATTGATTTCAAGAAATCACTAAAACTTCAAGGTTGAACCTCTAATTTGATTTTGTATTATATGACATGCTATTTGCTTCCTGTAGAGCCATTGTCTCATCAGTGTCTTTCATATCCATCGCTCCTAACTAGAGAGAGGGTCTTAGTAATCCAGAATGGAATGATGCCAATGTAGAAACGAAGGACTTAAAAGAAAATGAAACTTGGGAGTTAAGTGCTTTGCCACTGACAATGGGGCGCACATGCCTGGAGACTTCTTGTTCAATCATGTTATCACCGTGAATCACGAGCTAGTACAATAGACATTATCAAATCTTGATTAGTTGATAAAAGATTTACTCAAACTAACGGCAAGGACTACCATGAAATCTGTGACTTGTAGTGAAAATGTAAGACCAGTGAAAAAATGTAAGCTGTTAAATTGTTAGATGAGACGTTAGTATGTAATAACATACCATTTAACTGCCTCCTTCCCCTTTTGAGTAAAATAAACAAGGGCATCGTTTTCATTCCCCAAGTATCCACTTAGTATCAAAATGTCAATCTTGGCTAATGCATCAAAGGAGACAAGGTATCAAGCTCAATTCAAATGGGCAGGGCAAGATTTGGGAGAGGCTCATTCTGACATGAACAAGCTGCAGTGTTGCATTCAAAAGTAGAAGGAATATTCAAAGAGGCGTCAGCAAAGATGTTGCAGAACAGTGCAACCAGTGCGCACTTGAACAACAATGCCAAACAAGCTCCCATGAACAGTAATGATGAAGGACATTTTGCTGTGTCTGTGCAGTGTGTCTTGTTTGTGTTCCAAACAAGGCTTATCTAAATCAAGTTTCCAAAATTTCAAAGGATGGATACACAGGCAATTCCTTGATGTGGATGCTACGCTTGTGAAACAAATAATCAAGCTTTACAATAGAACCAAACATTTATCAAAAACAAGAAGAACAATAGAGTTAGACTGAGCAAAGTTTTCAGAAGGCTGGCTAAACGTTCTGGTCACATGTTGCACATAGATCCCATGGAAGAACTAAAAACAAGAGGGAGCAGTGACAGAATATCAAGAGAAATTCAAAGGACCGGTTGCACCAATGGAGTGATAAGAAGAAATATCTGAGCTATGGAGGGCAGAAAACTAAAAAGATTGAAATTTCAAAACGATCATTGTCAATTTCAAAATTTCAGAAAGCAGAAAAGATTGAAGCACCAGAGAGGACATTTAAGCCACAGAGCTAGTCAAGACGCAACCATTACTAATGTATGCATGAATTCTTTTACCTACTATGAGAAATTAGCTTTAACTATTTTCAAAACTTTTAACAACCTTAAACCAAATACCTTTTTTTTCTAATTAATCATTAATCCCTAACATAGCCTTCCCAAACACACGGTAAATATTCATCCTATATGGATAAAAATACCTTTTGCCAAGCCTTCCCAAAAGCTAGATTATTAGTTTATCAAAGAACCATCACAAAGGCAAATGGTTGAAAGAAGTTAACATGGAAATAGAAGTTGAAGTAGTCATTGTTAGCTGAATAAGCAGTTACCAATAACTAATTAGTGTAAATACTTACTTACCATAATGAATAACAAAAATTACAGTGTTGTGGAGGTAGTAAAGGATATCATTTTCATAAATGCTGTGGGCAACTGTAAATTGCTTTTTTATGGATATATATCTTCAGAAGCTTTCAAGTGCATGAACTTTTGCGGCGGCAGGATGGATATGCAAGCAGAAGAGCTGAGTAATCCATATGAATTAGAGGATGAGGGTGCCCTCAAAAGGAGGTCACAGTTGAATTGTGGATTTGACGGCTCAGCATTAAGCAAATCCACAAGAAGAAAACGCTACTAGAGTTACCAATCAATCGAGTAGACTACAGTTCTACTGACATATCACAAAGATAATTAGTAAACCCTATAAATTAATTTCATTGGAACACATTCTCCATTCCTAGGATCAACAAAAATCTCGAACTTTCTCTTGACACCCCTCAGACATGCAGCACATGGAAAAATGCAATCAAAGGTTCCACATGATCTTAAAAAGGTCCAAAACTAGCTGTTTCAAGTCTCCATGTCATTAACCCCCACCCCCCTGGGGGGGCCCTCTTTCTTCCTCAAGAAAGCAATCTTCTTTTATTGAAAAGCATACCACAAACAGAACATTCAACCAAACATGACTACTTCCAGGGACAGATTCAATAGTGACCAATTAGGGACAGTCGCCCCACTACCAAACTAGTTATCTATTTTATATTTTAATCTTGGACAGACCAAATCACAAATATACAGTTTAACAGAACAAACCCCCATAAACAAATAAAAAGGAATTTTCATCTGTGCTATATAGCATATAATTCTATTGTTCCCCAAAACTTTTAATTTTGCAACCTTTACCTTTCTGAAAAGCTCCACATGCTCTAATCTATCCCTTAAAATTTCATTACCACATTATTTTTTATGTTTCCAACCTGCTTTAATCATTAAAAGTAGAGTAAGTATTTCTTTATCAATGATAAAACATAAGCATCTCAAACCACGCTCCCAGACTTAATAAATCCCAATACACCCACTATTTTCTTCTTTTCTCAGGGAACAAAGAAAACAAGACTCTCATAAGTTTTTTTTTTTTTTTGGGGGGGGGGTCCCAAATCATAAGTATATTAATAACCTGTTGCGATTAGGTGAAAGGAGGTAAGATTAAATATCATCAAAACCTTACAACATTCACTCCAGCAGACGTAATTAGGTTTCATGTTCGTCCATTGATAATGAACATTAAAAAGTCATTATAGAGATGAATATAAAGAGCCAGCTAAGGAATACCTTTAAGAAACGGCCCCTCCTATTCTCCCCAATGTCGAAGTAGAACACCTGAAGAAGAAGCAAAAAAACGGGTTCACTAATTCAAAATGGAGTAACAAAAATCACCGTATTTGAAGAAAGGGAAACAAGTAAAGGATTACCTTGGTGTCAAGCTGCAATTCCTTGCTGAAGAGGTCTTGCTCGTCGGAGTTGACATAGTAATTGAAGAGATCGAGAAACCAGGAAATGCCAGAGAAGGGGACGATGATGGTGGACCTGGTAGCAGAAGTCTTCTCGGAGATTTTAAGGTAGCGACCACGAGGGTTCTCCTTGAGATCGAAGTAGAAGAGCTTGTGCTCAACCTGAAGTGTTTTGCAAAGCAACTCCACGTCATTCCCACCTCCGCCGCCACCGCCACTGCCACTACCTCCTCCTCCCCCAGAATTCCCCTCCATGTCCACCAACACACCACCACCTCCACCACCACCTACCGCCGCGAGCAGGGACCAAACAAAACTGTAAACAAACTAAATATCGTGCAATGAGTTAATTAATAAAACACTCTGCGTTAGATCTGATTAAACATAGATACTGCGATTGGAACAGCCGCGGATGGACCCTGAATCCTCTCTTGTTTTAGCGAAAATTTAGAGTTGAATTTTTTTTTTCCTCCCAACTATAGTTAAATTAAAGCATTTCATGGCGCATGCGGTTCGATAACTGGCAGTGAAACCTACATTTGAGGCCTGTTTGGGTGCTCTGAAACCGTGGTTTCAGAAGCACTTTTCTGCAAAACGAGATAACCTCCTCTACATATTTACTTCGTAATTCGTAAAAGCACTTCTGAAACCATGGTTTGGTTTCTATCCAAACACTCCCTTGTTCTGCTGAGGTAATTGTCGAATTTCTCACTTAAGATTGGCCCCAATGGTAACATTCCCTTCGTTTCCTTTTTTCTTTTTTTGCCTGACCATCCCCTTCATTTTCAAATAGAAAAGAAAACTGCATATTCAGCGTATATGCAGATTAATTTCATCATAAGATCTAAATAAAATAAAAAACTAATCAAATCACATGTTGTATATGTATAGATGCAAAGAGCTTATTATTACTATTTTTATTTTTATATTGATAATAAATAAATGGGAACATTACAATCAAATCCCAATAAAAAAAATAATTACTAAAAAGTCTCAATGACAATCTAAGTAATTTATAAAGACAAGTTTTAGAGTGTGAGACTTGTTTTGTAATTATCTTTTTTTATAGAGACTGCATTGTAATTCTCTCTAAATAAATTTTGTTTCATCCTTTTATTTTATTTTTAAATCTCTTTTTTCTTTATATTTTGTGACAACTCATTTTACTTGTTTTTTTTCCGCATCCACATCAATTCTAATTGATAGATTTTGAGCATAGGAATTAATAAGAACACAATAAAAAAAATTATAGAACTTGACTAAAATCAAGCAAAATTAAAAGAAGTAACAAATTAATTTTTTCTCTTTTTGAGTAAAAGATTTTTTGGCTAAATAAGACATTTTTATCTAACATATACAAAGAAAATAATTACATAATTAAGATGGGAAAATAGCATTATCATCTCAAAGAACCAAAAAAAAAATAAAAAAGTCCTATTAAAGTTGCAAATTAATTAGAAGTCTCAAAGAATTTCATTATAAGAGATTGTTGCTGTGTAATCATTAAAAAACCTTTGTTGATTTTAAAATAAAAAATTGAAGGGAATAGAGAAAGGAGGGCTCGGGCTTAGTAGAAAACTCCGTGGAAAACAAATCTTTCTTACCTCTTGCCATTACCATGATGCCTCTCACCTGTCACCCCCAATCATCATCATCTTTGTTACTGCAATCTGGTGATCTTGGGTTTCATGGCTAATAATCGCTTGCTCTCAACCTCTTTGAGCTTTGTCTTCATCTTGTTTGGTTAGGTATTTTTTTCTCTCTTTGCCTCTCAAATTTGTCTTCCTGTAACTGAGGTTAAAATACTCTGTTTCACAATGGATTTTAAATAACATTCTTTTTCAAAGTACTGGTGGGTGTGGAAATGGTAGGGGACTGTCAAACAAATGAGGATAATTTAGGATAAAGAAGAAGACTGGGATGAGAGAAACAAACAGAGTGGCATGGAAGAATAGCTTAGAGGAAGCATTGAAAATCCTAGTGTTATTGAGGCAGCAGAGGTAGCTACTATAACACTCAAATTTAATGGCCTTATTGGTGTTAGGCAGAGAACCCATTATTGATTGATGAGTTGAAGATCAAGGAAACAGTCACATGACCATAAGCAAAAAAATCCATAAACATTCTTCAAGATGCTAGTTATTATTTTGTCCTCTCAAAGAGTAACTAAATTTATGTTATAATAGGCGAAACATGTTCATATTTTTCTTGGGAAGGGATGATTGATGTAGTGAAATTGTTGTAATTTATTTAAAGTTGTTATGTATATTAGTTGTAATATTTTGTTCATGATGACTTATCACTTTATATGGAGTTTAAATTCATCTTATGGATCACTAATATGGTTGTTTCTTATGTCTATAAAGATAAGCTATATCTTCTTGTGATGCTTTATTTGTGTTCATTGCCACAATGATATTCAATTCGACTAGCAATCACTCCCCCGTGCGTTACAGGATGCTTTCACTCTAATGTATTCGATAAATATGTACATTACAAATCAATTTTTCATCACAATCTTGCACTTTGATTACAAAATTATTCACCCCATCATTCTAAACATGTAATTATACTAATATTCACCATCACAATAATTATCTCCAAAGAGTTTGCTCAAAACATGTACCTATTCTAACAAAACATATAAATTCTTTCACATTTATTGATTCCATTGTTTCCTACAGCAACCAATCAAGCTTCCAATGCAGTTTATTCCTGCACTGCGACCTCCTACAGTAAAATCAAGGACAAAATATATACTATAACAGTTCTGTTCATGAACAACCAGCTACTCTTTGAAAAAAAATATACATCACATATCAATTCAGTGAATCTAATACAAATGATGTCAATTAACTAATGATCAGTAAAAATTATTTTGAAAATTTAATAATTAGATAAAATATATTTACACTAAAACCCATACGCTTTACTCTGTATGGTATTACCTCTTGTAAGTGCACAGGTGTGATATTTCAAATTTTCATTGTGTTCCTACATGCATTATAAAATCCATGCACGTAATCAATATTCTTTATACTAATAAACCATGATTCGAAAAGGAACTCAAGACATTATAAAGCATACATACGTCATCATTACCTCCCAGCCATTATATTAATCTCCACTCTTTGGTCAAATTCACACCTACTAATGAGGGATATTCTGCACACAATCTTCACTTTGTCCAACACGTTGGTATATGTCTAAGTATCAAACTGCTTTTTTTATAAAATAAGGATATGAAAAGGAATGAAATCGAATATATAGAATATCAGCTCCACCAGACTTACCGATAAAAAAAGAAGCTGAAAATTGGAAGCACTACACTTTAATTCACTCATTAGTATCTTTAACCTGACTGCAATCCCTGGAAGAATGGAGAAATGTCTACTTAAAAATACCTATTTTGGAGGATTAAAACTAAAATAGTTGGTTCTTTCCCAACGGTAAAAGAAGATTTAAGTATCGGCTATCGTTCCCAAAATCTCATGGACAACACATAAATGATTTATTCTATCCAATCAACCACTATGCAGATGAGTTGACAAAAAGGATATGAATGATTATCTTTGAGTGTTCCCATTAATATGATATGATATACACACTTATGTTCAACAATAAACTTGATGATATATATATGTGTATAGATAGTGTAGTATAACTTGGGATTTCCAATAAACTAACATCAAATTGATGTACTCAGACTTAATTCTCAATCATCATTTTATTTACAAAAACAATCCCTGCTAATTAAATGTATAAACTCATAACAAACAGATTCTTTCAATAAAAAGCCCATTATTGATTTACAAATTCAATGCTAATTGTCCTTGAGGTTCATTTCCAAACTTTTCATTTACACAATCATGTCCTATTGCTTCTTTGAGACAATGCAGTCATCACAATTTCCCACAACCAAGATTTGAAAGGACCTATGAGAGCAAATATGTGACAATAAGTTGCTAAGAGATAAAAATTTACTGAAAAGAAGATGCTGCACGCTTACTATCATCTTTTTAGCCAAAGAAAGGACCCACAAATCCTTTTTACTTCATCCTCACCTCTGTCCCTCTCTTCATCATCATTGTCTCCTCATGAAGTGAAAGACTTCATTCATATTTCAATGTGTGAAACTGAGGATAGCATAAATACGCAGTAAGTAATGATTATGTGGAGTTAGAAATTTCATTAAAAGAAGGCTTTATTTGATAGAATTTCTGAATCAATTCTTTAGAAGGAAAAAATGAACTTCTACTACTTCTTCTAGTGTTCCCTTTAATTATCGAGTTGGCATTAACATTTAGAATAATTAATTAGAGATTAAAGGCAAATGGATGTCATATCGTGAATTTTGGGCCTAGAAGTACTGGAATTAGCTTGAAATGGATATACTACTAGATCCTTTTTGGCAGATGTCCCGGAGATTCCCTAGAAGGACAAAAAGATTCCTAGGAACTAAATCGCAAAGGGAAAGTTTTCTAGGACTAAGAAAAGAGGAAGTTAGAGACTTGGATGAAGTCTCGAGGTCCAAGAATGAGAAATGGAAATAAATATAAGCCAAAGGTTATGTTGGAGGTCCTAGTGAGGTGAATTTCAGGTTAAGCCAAACCAGGGGTAAAATTGTGATTTTGTAAAGTTTCGGCTGGTAAGGGTAAAAATGAAAAGTATGCCCAAAAATTCTAGAAAATTCCCAAAAAAGGGAAAAAATGCAAATTAAAGGTTTTAAAAACTTGGTTGAGACCCGAGATGTGGAATTATTATAAAAATAAATCATCATAGAATTTCCCGTAAATGAAAATTTTTCAAAAAATACTGGAAAATCAGAGGAAAATAATTATTTTAATTAGTTATAGGCCTCAATAATTCTGAAAAAAAATATGAAAAAAAATCTAAATATTTTTTTGAATTTATAAAATTAGTTTTAGGCCTTAAAAGCTCAGGAATTAATTTTAGGGAAATTTATTTTCCCCCAATGACATTGATAGAGGCCTAATCGGAGAAAATTTAAAATAATTACCTAGAGGTGGTAAAAAATTTTGAAAATTTTCAGATCATGTTCTTATATGAAATGGGGATTTATCATAGAGAGAAATTAATTTTTGAAGGCCTAAAAAAATTACAGAATGTTACAAGTGAATAGTAACCGAAAAGGAGTCTGAATGGTTTGGGATTGTGATTTGGTTTGTGAGCCAACTTTTTGGGCCATCCTAAACCATGTGTGGGACTCATATTAGGCCTAGAAGAGAGCCCAATTTCATGACTTTCTGCCCACTCAAAGAAATTAATTAAATAAAATTCAAAATTGATGGATAATGTTGGAAATTTCTAGTAAAAGGACACGTGTATGGTTGGATTGAAGACATATGGTTTGATGATGTAAGCATGATGTCATCAAGATGATATAAGCATTATGTCATAGGACACTTGTCATCACAAGATGAAAAGGAAAAATGGACGAT